GATGATACAGAATTTGCAAGTCATAATCTTTAATCAACTCTAAGCATCTTCTCTATCTCATATTCAATTATTTTTGGGTGAAAAAATATTTCAATCTTTTATGATCAGTATACACCTCGTAAGTCACACCATACAAATAGTGTCGCCAAATTTTCAAAGCAAACACTGCAGCTGCTAGTTCAAGGTTATGGGTCGGATAGTTCTTTTCATATGGACAGAGTTGCCGGGAAGCATAAGCAATCACCTTACCATTTTGCGTTAGTACACATCCCAACCCTTTATGTGAAACGTTATTGTAAATTTGAAACTCATCAGTACCATTGGGTAAAGTTAAAATTGGTGTAGTTACTAACCTGGTTTTCAACTCTTGAAAGGCGGACTCTCTTTGATCATTCCAATCAAACGGCACATTTTTCTGTGTCAACTGTGTCAGTGGCATGGCAAGTTTGGAGAAGTCTTTCACAAATCTCCTATAATAGCCAGCAAGCCCCAGAAAACTTCTAACTTCAAATACATTTTCCGGTTTTGGCCACTCTACAATAGCTTCAATCTTTTGTGGGTCAACTGATATGCCATCCTTATTGATCACATAGCCTAAAAAAGTCACACAATCAAGCTAGAATTCGCATTTGGAAAATTTTGCATAAAGTTTCTTTTCTCTCAGGGTCTGTAGCACAATTTTCAGATGATTTTCATGTTCTTCCCTGCTTTTGGAATAAATCAAAATATCATCAATAAAAATAACAACAAACATCAAGAAATTGTTTGAACACCCTATTCATTAGGTCCATAAAAGTTGCAGGTGCATTAGTTACCCCAAACAGCATCACTAGAAACTTATAGTGCCCATATCTAGTCCGGAAGGCGATTTTCTCTATGTCTTCTGCTTTAGCTTTCAATTGGTGGTATCCGGATCTAAGGTCAATTTTTGAAAGACTTGGGCTCCCTGGAGTTGGTCAAACAAATCATCTATTCGGGGCAGTAGATATTTGTTCTTGATAGTTACTCTATTCAATTCCCAGTAATCTATACATAATCTCAAGGACCCATCTTTCTTTTTAACAAAAAAAACTAGAGCACCCCAAGGTGAAGTGCTCGGGCGAATAAACTTCTTGTCTAACAGTTCCTGAAGTTGAGTTTTCAATTCTTGCAGTTCAAAAGTTGACATTCTATATGGAGTTTTAGAAATCGGTTGTGTTCCAGGTACAACATCAATAGTAAACTCAATTTCTCTATCAATTAAATCTCCTGGCAATTCATTTGGAAATACATCAGAAAATTCATTTACTACAGAGATGTTCTCTACAGTAGGACTATTAGAAGTCACAATCAACACGCAACATAAGTAACCCCGGCACCCTCTTTGTGATAATTTCCTGACTTTCACAAAAGAAATCAAATATGGTGGAGAAATTACCCAATTTCCAACAAATATAAACTCAAGCATACCAGGTGGTCGAAACACAACAGTTTTATTCACATAATTAATAGTTGCACAATACTTTGTCAACCAATCCATGCCCAATATATGTCACGCCCCAAAAATAATACAATAATCCATCCACCAAGCATTATATGTTAACAACAATAATAAAGTTATCTTCCATTAATTCGATATGATATACAAAAGAGAAACATATGCATCATACATTCATAAAGCCTAACCCTGAATCTATAGTATATGTTTCTAATTAAAAGAGAGGAAGAAAGATAAATAGTTAAACATGCCCTACGGGTTTACAACTTTCCAAGACAATGCTTTGTATAATCTATAGCATATGTTTCCAATCAAAAGAGAGGAAGAAAGATAAACAGAACTTTTCAAGATGATACTTGGTTACAACAAAAAGAGTAAGATGCTCAATATAGATAAAGCTCTAGGTTTGTACAAAAGGCAAATAAATACAAATAAACAAAAGTAAGCTCTCAGCTTCACAATCCTCCCAAGCTAAGTCCTGGATGGAGGCATATCACCAGCAACTGAAAATGTTTTTTCCAAGTAAGGTGAGTCACAACTTAGCAGGAATAATCTAATACAGTATATGAGGTTTAACAATGGTATAAAGGCAATGTGCTTTTACAATACCGGAAGTAAAAAGCTCACATTTTATATAGTCATAGAACACCAAGTTACATTTCATTTCATTTCCCTTCAATCCATTCCAATAAATGAGTCGATTTCATTATTTCTCAACAACCACACTGAGGTTACAATTCAATGGTTTTCAAACCATACAACACATACACATAAACGCTTCAAACTTCCATTTCACAGATATTTCGTTCGTGGGCAGCCGTCAAACAGGACCCATGTAAACATAGGCTATACAAATGCTACAATTGCTATTTTACGGATATTTCGTCCACGGGCTAGGCACCTATGTATAATTTCGAGACTTTTACCCAGAACACTCCGACCAACTTAATTATAATGGAGTTCATATCCCCTTTCTTCTCCCAAACAATCATTCATATATATACAATGTGTGACACCCTAATTGGTTAATTAATTTACAAAAATAAATAAATAATAAAAATAATAAAAATAAAAATACTAGGAAAACATTAAAATGACGTGTGCTAAAATGTAATCTAATGGTTTAATTATGTTAGAATTTGGGCCAAAGATAAATAAATAAATAAACTAATTAAACTTATCCATTTGGGATAAGTTCATATATCATATCTGAGGGATAAGCATCATAATGACTTAGCTTGGGCAACGTGTCACCCTATGTACTTGCTGAGCAAGTATGAGGCTTAGTATAAATAGGGGAGTTGAGGTGAATAGGAAATCAAGGAAAACAAAAAAACACAAAACAAATGTAATCGGGGGCAAAGAGTCTGCACGCGGTGAAGGGGAGCACGAATAGGAGTTACTATTTAAGTGAGTGATATTATACCTTGAGTCACCATAATATGTTTTATATATGTCTTGAGTTACCTTAATATATTTTACGAATGTTTTGAGTTATCACAAATTTCTTTTATATAAATCATGCTTTATGGTTATGTTAATGTTTTAATTACGTGGATTATTTTCTAAACTTTATTTGTTTAAATTGAAACCCATGGATATGTTTGTTCAAATTTTAGAAAATATTTGACAACGATTTTATAAATATTTGTTTTAAATAAGTACCACCATGGAGGTCACATGCCTTAGGGGACTTAAATAATTACTGGCCCTCTGAATTGTCACTTTAGTGACCCTCTGACAGTCCCATGCCTTGGGGGACTTAAATAGCCTTTGGCCCTCTGATTAGTCACTTCGTGACCCTCTGTTTGTCATGGATCCATTGACTCTCTGTTTTATTCTGTACCGTGGTTATAATTATTTTGTTTATAAAAATTTGTGCTATATAATAATCAAACTATTCATCTTTAGCCTAAATAATTATCCATGGTGATTTTATACCCTCATGCTCTCAGTGTAATATTTCTCACTCTGTCATGTGTTTATAGCTGTTAAAACCCCTTTCAGGTGAAGAAATTTAAAGAATGATGGTTTTACCTTGTGGATCAGAACCTCAAATTTATTATGGATATCATGTTTTTTTTTTTTCTTGTAATCATTATCTGACTGATGTTACATTGTTACATAAATAATAATTTCTATGTACGCTTTGGATATTACTCTGCCTCCTTTATTTTATTTCGCTACGTTATTTAAATTAATTACTTGGAATTACAATTGTGGGATTTTAGGATTAGCTAGTCGCGATCCAGCCTTGGCCATCGAGATGGGTCATGACAAAAGTGGTATCAGAGCAATGGTTTTAATAAATAAATTTAAAAAAAATTACCTTAGTCCTTACAGTCTTACCTTAGTCCTTATAGTGATAAGTCTTTTCTTGGTTCTATAGCTAAGTTGGGCATCCTGTGGTGCAGGCAATGTCAGAACTTAACTTTGGCGACTCTTTTTGGTATGGGCCTGATCTCCCAGACGTTGAAGAAATTTTTGAAAATAACAATTATGTTCTAAACTTACCAGAGGAAATAGGAGACTCTGAAGCAATAGTTAGGCAGGCAAACCCGATCCTCAACCGACTTATGGGCTGACCAGTATACTTAAGGGTTGTCCCCACAGCAGTAGACACACAGTGGTGGAGGGTTGACGCTATGAGTACCTTAGATAGGTTTTTAGGACCTACACAGGTAGTAGGCATGGCCCTAAGTCAGGAATATCCTCGCTATTTAGTAGCACCTTTACCTCCAGAGTTTATGGCTCGACGAGGGCATGCTTTCTTAAGTGATCACATTCAAGCAAGAATCCCTCCCCCTCAGAACCTAATTGACACTCAGACGGTTGACTTTGGTGACATTACAACGTATGTGGAGGTACCTATGCGTATCATAGAACGACAACTGTGAGACAGGCATCCCTATATACCAAGTGAAGGTGGCATGGCGATGTTTTGGCATAGAGCAAAACGGATGGGAGTTTGAGCATCACATGCAGTTGTAGTACCCATGACTGTTTTCAACCTAAGATCCTAATAACAAAATCCTTTCTTTTGTTGTTTTTGTGTTTTTCTTTTGTTTGGTGTCTAAGCAAGCTGACCATGACCTAATTTTAACCCGTTTTGTCATAAAGGGTTAGGCACTAAACTTGACATAACTAAAAGTAATGTACCAACACCATTATACATAATTAAAAATCGGTGTTTTGTGAATAATGTATATATTATCAATGTTTTATAGATTATGTGAATATGTTTTAATTTAGGTAATTAATAGAAATCATGCATCCCGTTTATTAAAATTGTTTTATAGCTATGGCTAACGATGGAAATGGTACCGGGTCATCATCCAATGGAGTCGATCCAATGGAACGGATTGTGAAGAGAGCTATTACCAGTTTCTTGCAAGCCTTGCAGAACAATGGGTCACCAGAACATCGAGAAAGGACAACTACGATTAAACAATTCCAAGACCTGAATCCTTCCACGTTCACAGGAGGTTCAAATCCGTTGACAGCTGAAGCTTGGGTTAAATAAATGGAGAAGATTTTTCGTGCCTTACCCTGCACAGAAGAACAGAAAGTATCCTTCGCCACTTTCACCTTCAAGGAAGATGCGCAAGAATGGTGGCTTGTCACCTTAGAAAAAGAAGAGATCGTGACTTGGGCGAGATTCTTGGAGGTGTTCTATGAAAAGTATTTTCCAGAATCACTACCGGAGCAGAAGGCATCCGAGTTCCTACATTTGAGGCAAGGAACAATGTCGGTGGCGGAGTACGAAAGTAAGTTCACACGACTAGCACGATTTGCACCATATGTTATTCCGACAGAAGCCCGAAAAACAAGGAAATTCGAAGCAGGATTAGATGCGGAAATCAAAGATAGGCTTGAGGTTCTAAAACTACCAACCTATGCAGAGGTGGTGGATCGAACATATATCGCCGAAAAAGGAATTAAAACCACACGTTCCAGTGAAATGGGTCAAAAGAGACGGTTTTGGGAACCAGTCGGAGGATCAAAGGCAGCCCCACCAAAGAAAGTAAATTTTGGATCTACTAGCTCAACTGGTTCGGCCAACCAAGGTTTTACTATTCCCAAGGGTAGCACCATTCCAAATTGTAGGAGTTGCGGAAAGGCTCATAGGGGACAGTGCTTTCGGTTAATAAGAGCATGTTATAGATATGGCCAAGTTGGCCATTTAATGAAAAACTGCCCAAAATTCACCAACTCTGTGATAAGTACCTCTAAACTAGCTCAGAAACTAGAAACCGCCACAGGAGGGAAGAAGGAACAGGGATGCCAAGAGCTTTTGCGTTAGTACCTAGAAACTCCAATGCTACGGAGAACGTTGTGACAGGTACACTTTCTGTCTGTGGTCACTTAGCTCGTGTTCTCTTTGACTCTGGTTCCACTCATTCGTTTGTGGCACCACACTTTGTTTCCAAGTTAACATCAACACCTGAACCATTGGGATATGCATTATCTGTGGCTTTTCCATTTGGTGTCACCGCACTTAGTACAAAGGTATACAAGTCTTGTGTTATATCCTTAAAGGATGAAACCTTGTATGTAGATCTAATTCCACTCTGCATTAGTAGCTTCGACATAATCTTAGGGATATATTGGCTTGCTGCCAACCATGCCTCTATAGACTGTACGACCAAAAAGATCTTTCTTCGGTTACCCGACCAACGCGAGCTGGTTTTCGAAGGAACTGGAGTTTCTACCCCTCCGTATATGATATCCTCCGTGATAGCCCATCAAATTTTGAGAAAAGGTTGTGGTGGTTGTATTTTTTATGTGGTTGACGCTCAACAAATAAACCCAACGCTCGATTCAATACCGGTCGTTCGAGAATTTCCTAATGTTTTCCCTGAAGACTTACCTGGTACCTTAGTTGATCGCGAAATCGAGTTCACCATCGACACTCAACCCAATGCACAACCAATCTCCAAAACTCCTTACCGCATGTCATTGACGGAATTGAAGGAACTAAAAACCCAACTCTAGGAACTCCTGGACAAAGGCTTCATTCGACCAAGTGCCTCACCATGGGGAGCTCCAATACTGTTCGTAAAGAAAAAAGATGGCACGATGAGGTTATGCATCGATTACCGGGAGCTAGTCACCATCAAGAATCGATACCCTTTTGCCAAGAATCGATGACTTGTTTGACCAACTTCAAGGGGCCCAAGTATTCTCCAAAATCGACTTGCGTTCTGGCTATCATCAACTAAAAGTCAAAACGGAAAACATCGAGAAGACGACCTTCAGAACACGTTACGAACACTACGAGTTCCTTGTCATGCCATTTGGCGTCACAAATGCTCCAGTGACCTTCATGGACCTCATGAACCGAATGTTCAAACCATATCTTGATGAGTTCATCATCGTCTTCATTGACGACATTCTCGTATACTCCAAGTCACCAGAGGATCATGAGCCATGGATATTGGAAGCTCTTCTTCTGACCCAAAACCTTCTGCGTGGGATGAGGGTGCAGCTTCTTCTTCTTCTGGGGTTTCTGGTTGGAGAAGCTAGCCAGAACCTGAGGAGTCCAAGTTAAGAAAGCGAATCAATTATCATTTTGTCACAATTCTTTAACCCAAAATTTTGCAAACATGGATATTGGAAGCTCTTCTTCTGACCCAAAACCTTCTGCGTGGGATGAGGGTGCAGCTTCTTCTTCTTCTGGGGTTTCTGGTTAGAGAAGCTAGCCAGAACCTGAGGAGTCCAAGTTAAGAGAGCGAATCAATTATCATTTTGTCGAATTTGTTGATCTTCTAACTTTCCCTCCCTTTGCTCGGAGTTCAGTGGTTTACCCATATGTACCTATCGACCGCCGACGCCATTTGGATGACAACTTGCTTGTAGCATGGTACACGTCTTCCATGCCTACGAAGATAGTTCAAGCTACTCGTTGTCCAGAAGAGGCTCAAGGGTATAGCCCGTCATTCTTAGTCCAAAAGGCAAAACTTTGCTCTTCTGACTGGCTTGATATCGTCACCAACCCCCAATTTCCTCCTTCTTTCTAGATGGAAGCTCCTGCACTTCCTCTTCCACAAAATCCTCACTGGATGGAGGAACTGAGACTTACTCTCTTTGAGGACCAGTTTCTCCCCTCCTATAACCCTCCATCTCTCCCTACTAAATATCAACGACAACAAGCCTAACTTCTGCTTACGGCATTTTCTCACTTGCCGTTCAATGCTCTCGAGGACGATGTTCCTCTTAAGAACTTTCGATGGGCTTGTGATGTTATGACCCGGGGTCATGTGTAACACCCTAATTGGTTAATTAATTTACAAAAAAAATAAAATAAAATAAATAAAAATAAATAAATAAAATAAAATAATAAATAAAAATACTAGGAAAACATTTAAATGACGTGTGCTAAAATGTAATCTAATGGTTTAATTATGTTAAAATTTAGGCCAAAGATAAATAAATAAATAAACTAATTAAACTTATCCATTTGGGATAAGTTCATATTTCATATCTGAGGAATACCTCCTAAGCATCATAATGACTTAGCTTAGGCAACGTGTCACCCTATGTACTTGCTGAGCAAGTATGAGGCTTAGTATAAATAGGGGAGTTGAGGTGAATAGGAAATCAAGGAAAACAAAAAAACACAAAACAAATGAAATCGGGAGGAAAGAGTCAGCACGCGGTGAAGGGGAGCACGAATAGGAGTTACTATTTAAGTGAGTGATATTATACCTTGAACCACCATAATATGTTTTATATATGTCTTGAGTTGCCATAATATATTTTACGAATGTTTTGAATTATCACAAATTTCTTTTATATAAATTATGTTTTATTGTTATGTTAATGTTTTAATTACATGGATTATTTTCTAAACTTTATTTGTTTAAATTGAAACCCATGGATATGTTTGTTTTGAATAAGTACCACTACGGAGGTCCCATGCCTTAGGGGACTTAAATAATTACTGGCCCTCTGAATTGTCACTTTAGTGACCCTTTGACAATCTCATGTCTTGGGAGACTTAAATAACCTTTGGCCCTCTGATTAGTCACTTCGTGACCCTCTGTTTTGTTCTGTACCATGATTATGATTATTTTGTTTATAAAATTTTGTGCTATATAATAATCAAACTATTCATCTTTAGCCTAAATAATTATCCATGGTGATTTTACACCCTCATGCTCTCAGTATAATATTTATCACTTTGCCATGTGCTTATAGCTATTAAAACCCCTTTCAGGTGAAGAAATTTAAAAAGGATGGTTTTATCCTGTGGATCATAACCTCAAATTTGTTAGGGATATTATGTTTTTTTTTCTTTCTTGTAATCATTATCTGACTGATGTTACATCGTTACATAAATAATAATTTCTATGTACACTTTGGATATTACTCTACCTCCTTTATTTTATTTCACTGCGTTATTTAAATTAATTACTTGGAATTACAACTGTGGGATTTTAGGATTAGCTAGTCGCGATCCAGCCTTGGTCATCGGGATGGGTCGTGACACAATGTATATGAACACATAATCACACATGGAGTACATCCCTTTTCTCCTCCCAAATAATCATACATATACAATGTATATAAACATAGTCATATTCAATGACAACCAACAAAAGATTAATTTCAATTCACCTAGTCCATATGCAATTTCTACAACAATTATAGTTATCATCCACCGATAGCCCCAAATAAATATTTCTAAGCAGTTATACAAACTTCACAATAGATAAACTATCCATATATCCATCGATAAGAAATGACAATTTTCCAACTCCACCATTAACATACACATCTAACCAATTTCACCTTTATTGAACCAATTCCATGATTTATACAAAATAACCATTTGAAACATTTTAGGGCAACATCTCATTTCCTCCCAAATACAATTCCCGTTGTTACCCCTGGCATTAGTTCTGGCATTTGTCTTTGTTACAGGGAGTAGATCCAGTTGAACTTGATGTGGGGCGATTGGCATTCTCAAACCGAACTGGACAATCTCTCATCATGTGGCCGGTTTTATCACATCTGAAACAGGCACCCGTTGCTCGATAACAGACGCCCTTATGCTTCCTTCCACAATCCAGACAAACTTGTATAGACCCAGTACTCTAACTAGAGTTATTGGAGGATCCCGTGTTTTGCTTCTTACTTCCAAAGGAGTTGCCCTTTCTAAACTTGTTCCCCGACCTCATACCTCTTCATTTTATTGTTGTTGGGGCCTTGCTTTGCTTCATAGCTGCTAAGGTAACTTCTGCCATCAATGCTCTATCTAATACTTTCATATAGGTAGGCAACTTCAAGACGCCAACCCGGTCAAACACTTCCAAGATCAAGCCTCCTTCAAACTTTCGTGCCTTTTTATAATCAATATCCACTATGTATGGAGCAAACCGAGCCAATTCAATGAACTTAGCTTCATATTCAGTGATTAACATATTGCCTTGCTTGAGTCCTTGAAATTCAGAAACTTTTCGGTCCTGAAAACATTGAGGGAAATACTTGTCATAAAAGATTCCCTTGAATTAAGTCCATGTCATGTTCCTATTATCGTTTCAGATTAATAACCACCACCTTCGAGCTTCATCCTTTAACGTATAGGTGGCCAAGAGCACCTTCTAAGTCTCGGAACATGGAAAGACTTCATATAGTTTTTCCATTTCGAGTAACCATGTCTCAGCCTTCAATGGTTCAATCTCACCCAAGAACGTTGGTGGTTTCATCTTCATAAACTTCTGGGTTAGGTTGATTATGTCATTGTTATTTGATTCAGTTTGTACTGGTGGAGGCGGAGGAGGCATAGGATGTTGCCTTAGAGATTCCGTTAAAGCCACAAGTATTTGTTCCATGTGACTCATGCAAGCCTTAGAAGATCCCGTTGTATCATCACTTCTTACATTTTTCATCGCTATAGGTAAACAGAACAATAATAAACACAGGCAAATAGTTCTTCTCACAGTATTCGGAACATTCGATCCCAGTTCATTCACTTCAATTTTATGTGTTCATGTTCAGACTTAGTTTTCTAATGTACAAAAATTAACACACACTCCCACATGCAGATGCAATGTCTCTAATTCTTTTCTAGGACATCATATAGCTCATTCAGACTTGTTTGTGCGATATAACTCATGCTTTGATACCACTCTGTCATGACCCAAACCCACCCCTATGGGTTTAGCGTCGTAACTGGCCAGTAATCCTGGGATTACCAAAGGTCTCTGAGCAAAATAAAAAAATATAAGATGCTCCAGAAGCAAATATACGAAATACAATGTCCATAGAGCTGTGTAGACATACATGAGACAGAAAATTTAAAACTTATATATGTATGTTGTCAAATTTTCGTACATCATACACCACCATATAGATAGTATCATAAGGGACTTAGCCCACAGTACAGTGAGACAAAAACAAAACAAAAACATCTTTCACATGATTCACAAAACTCGACTTTTCAAATAGGAACCTCCCCGAGAGGCATGGTGGCTGGTTGACAAAACAAAACTCTCCAAGCAGCAGCTTAGATCTGGTCACGCACCTGCTCACCTACATACATAATATAAATAGTGAGCGGAAGCCTAATGAATAATAATAGAGTAAAGGTTTTACTGAATGATGTCTATACAGAAACAGAGTCTTGTACATAATCAGATGTCAAAGCAGAAATAGATTCATATACATAATCATATTCGTATCCAAAGTTCATACATTTCACATGATAGTACGTGGTACATCCACTAGCGTCAACAAATCCGATGATCCATATTTGAGACGGCCATAAAGGCATCTCGATGACCCATAAAGGGACACATATCATATGATGCTAAGGATGCCAAGAATACATTTCAGAAATTTGGATAATCATTCATTCATACAAAAAATAGCATTTCAGAAAATTGATCATTTCATACCATCATAAAATAATTAAAGGCCCTGTTTGGTAGGGCTTATTTTCAGCTTATTTCAGTTTTTAGCTTAATTTAAGCTATTTTGATGTGTTTGGT